GCAACGGTTGGCGATGAACAGAAACGACTGGCGAAATAGACTGGGGAAGGTCAAGGCTCAACTAGAGCTGTAGCACCACTGATGATGATGAAACTTGATCATTTTATGTTCTTTATTTAATTCCAGATTATATTTGCTGAATATTTGAATATTTGAGTAAATAAAAGTGAGGATCTCAATAATTTCGGATATTTCTTCGGTGTAATCTTTTGCTATAAGTTTGGGTTTTTTAGAGTTAGTGGCCATTTTTAAAAATAGGCATATTTCTAAATAATCTATAGGAAAAGGCAGATTTTTTTGTTCTATTAAGTTTTTTAATAGAGTCGAGGAGAGCAAATGTGTTTTCAGTCAACTTGGATCTTTTTTTTTGGTTTAGATGTTTTGGGAACAGAGAAGATGTCTTGTGATGTTGGAATATCAGAAAAATCTCGGGAATTTAATAATTCTCTTTTATCCTTAGCTTTATTTAAAGGTGGGTTAACGATACTAGTTATAGATAGGGTAGGAGCTGGAGGGTTACAGGGAGTGTTTACTTCGGAAAGAATTTTATTGGTGGTTTCAGTTAGCTGTATATTGGTTTGGTTTTTTGGATTAGGATTTTCAAGTATTCCTGTTTCCATTTGTTTACTGGGCAAATCCGTTTTATGAATACAATCAACTATTCTCGGTGTCCTATTGTTCGACATTTAGACCAATTAAATTCATCTATAGAAAGGTATATTCGATATGTTGTGGAATCAAAAGAAATGTTGAAAGAGTCTGTTATGGATAAGTTTTCTAATGAATTGATGTAGATTTGCCGTCGAAAACTCAGAACATGGTTATATTCTGTCTCAGACATACCCACACGAAAAAATGTCATTTTTGATATGGCTATAGTTCCCATTTTCTTGAGTTCGTCTTCTATAACTTCGTTTGGAATAGTTGGACAAACATTCGAGATGACTAATCCTTATGCTTGAGTTATTAATCTGCGGACTTCTACTTGCACGTTGCTAATTTTAACGTGTTTATGTGAGTCAATGAGTTGGTCTACTATTCTTTTAGAAGATAAATAAATGCAAATGCGGTTGTTTGTATTTTTCGAGGCAAAAACTATGTTCTTTGGAAGGACAAGTGATCCAATGGCAACTATATAATCATGAATTTTAATTCCTTCTATGGCAGATAGTACAATAGTTTGGTCCGCTCTGGGTACCGGTCGAAGCGGCTTTGTAATAATTTTGTTGACTTTCAAAATATGTTGTATTATGTATTATTAAAGATATTAATTGTACTCATAGCAATTTCAGACCAATCAATGAAAAACACTGTAGATTTTCTAGTAAATACGTTTAACTATTTTTGTTCACTTTAATCTATTGGATTTAAAGGATATTATCTGAACTAACCTAAATGTGATTTGGTAAACCAAGGTCAGAGCCGTATTCTTTTAAATGTTTGTATTATACTTTTGATTACTATTGTATACATACTATGGCAATTTTAGTTCAGTTCTTAGTTAAACATATACGTATGTTTATCTAATTTAATCATCTATATTTGACAATATATAACAAATAATTGTAACATACAAAATAAAAGCAATGGAAATGAATTATTAGAGAAGATGTTGCCAACTCACTAGAAGAGATAGAGTAAGGAATACTGAAATCAGAGAGCGTATGGGCATAGACATTGACATCCTGGAAACTATAGAATGCAAAAGGCTAAAATGGTATGGCCATGTAGAAAGGATGAATGATCAACGATGGCCAAAGAGAATGTTACAGTGGATCCCCACCAACCGCAGGAAAAAGGGAAGACCAAGAAGATCGTGGAGACAAGAAGTAAATGGTGCAATGGAAGATAGGGGTCTACAAGTAGATGACTGGAACGATCGCAAGCGTTGGATGCTAGGTTGCGAGAAACGGCGGCAGCTGTAATAAACTCGTTATATATATTATATATATATATATATATATATATATATATATATATATATATATATATATATATATAAAGTATCTTTATATATTAAAGGCCAACTATATGGCCTAGGAGACAAATTCGTTAAACTTCCCGTGCTCGAATTGGTATCACTAAAGTGTTATGATCATTTCGGCCTATCCCAGCCATCGTCAGACACTTGGGCTGATACAAATTCAAACTCGGAAAGTAAAACGAATGTCTCCCAAATCTTTACCATACTAGTTGGCCTTTAATATATAAAGCGATAGCGGCTTTCGCTAAAAGATTTAATTCTTTACACATTTCGCATAGCATAAAGGATACAGAAAACGATTATTCATATCGTTTCGTTCACGGCCTTCAAAGTAGGGGCGCCTTTATAAGCTAACTACACGGTAGTAAAGATTTGGGAGACATTCGTTTTACTTTCCGAGTTTGAATTTGTATCAGCCCAAGTGTCTGACGATGGCTGGGATAGGCCGAAATGATCATAACACTTTAGTGATACCAATTCGAGCACGAGAAGTTTAACGAATTTGTCTCCTAGGCCATATAGTTGGCCATTTAATATATATATATATATATATATAATATATATATATATATATATATATATATATGAATAATATATGTATGTGTAGGGAGTGATAGAATGTCTGGAGAGTGTTGTGGCTTTAAAGATCTTCTGCAAGGACCAGTCCTCCTGCGTTACGACATCGGCATCTAATGTTATATGGACCACATATCTGCTCAGGTCGAGATTATTACTGTGTGCGTGTGCAAATTTTAAATTCCATTCTTTTTCTATGATACGTTCATTTTGTTAATTATTTTATTATTTTCCAGCTAAAAAATTTTTCCAGTTTCTCAAAAGTTTATTTATTATTAAAATTTGTACAATTTTAATTATAAAACAAATTGGAAATATTTTACGTAAACATTATTATGAATAGTAATGTTTTTCTATTTATATTAGTTAAATAATCTTCTAAAATGTAAATAGTGGGTTACCTATAATATCATCATCGATCTTTTTGCCTTTACTTTTATGAAAGTTCGGATTTTCTAATTACATTTCGTCATAAGTTTTTATTTTGGATCATATTAATATCAATTTACTTTACCAACATGTCCTGCCTAACAGCCTCTCTTCAGCTCGTCTTTGGTTTTTCTCTCTTACTCCTTTTATGATCTAAAGATCAGTAATTCTTCGTATTAAGTGATTAACGACTCGACGTTGAACATTTTCAAGCCATTTTAACCTATACCCTCTCATTTTGGCAACAATTGAGGAACTAGGTAGTAAACAATGGTAATGGACAAATTTTCATTTTTCCTGAAATATTATGTAAAAGATGGCAAGGACATGGCAACGTAAAAAACTTGACTTACTTTATCCTACGAATAATAGATGGCGCCAGATTAATTTCTTAAAATTTAATAAGAGACATGCATAAGCATCAAAATAATGTTATGTATCCATGATGTCGGAAGACAACGCAGGCTGTTCAAATCTAAATGTTAATATGTTATATGTTATCTAAATGTTAATAATGTTAATATTTATGTTAATATGTTAATATGTTTTTGATGTTAATAGTGACAATTCTGGGAGCTACGATAATTACGACTCAGATAAAGATCCTGAATTTCAAATATTTATTGAAGCTAGCGGGATTAACTTTCTACAAAGAAAGTAATTTATTTTATATTCTTAAAATAATTGTTTGCATTAAAAAATGGTAAAGGATGTACTTAACATTGCTTACATCAACATTCACTTTGCATAAAAACTTGGCTTTCTTAAGTATCCATGGTTTACAGAAATATCGAGGTCGAGTTGAAAATCTAGTAAAATAATTAAAAACTGGATCAAATACTCCAAAATTTAGTCTAAGAGGTTGACATTTAAATGATCCTAAAAAATATTTCAATTTCAAAACTCCAAAAATGAATACATACCAAGCGTGTGATAAGTTTTCAGTAGCTGTAGAAAACGCGAAGTTACACAGTGTTGAAGCTGAAGTTGAAAAAATTAACACTGAACAAGAATTACATTATAGAAAGTCTAAAGTAAGTCAACAGGCAGTCACACACGCAGTAGAAGAAACAATCTTAAACCCATATGCAAACTTAAAACCAGATGTGCATGCAATAAGTTTTGATCACAACAAACCCTTCCCACGCCAAAGCTTACCACTGCTCCCATGTTCTATAAGAGATAACTGTGGTGCTATAATTTAAGCATACATTGCCATGAAGATGGTCACGGTCACTATTTTATGTGGGTTGAATCCACTGCTAAAAGAGGGTCAGACGAAATAGACAATTTCAAATTTTCTCATTGTGTGAACCAAAAAACTGGTTAAAAAACACACGTATTGTTAATAAATAGATAATAAGAGTTGAAATCTTTACATATTTTCCATGAATAGATACCTCTATTTTACATTGCAATTGATAAATATTTTCATATAATTTAAAATAAGTAGAAATCCTTGAAATTTAACATTCTTACGCGGACTTTAGCAAGGAAGGGTGGTGGGGGAAGAAATGTGGAGCCCACCAGATTTTGATGTTGGAACTTCAAAGTTAAAGCGTTCTGAAAAAGTTGTAATATTTCTGAAAAACGTAGATCAAGGTAGCTTGACGAAATATTAACAACTGTAAAACTTCCATTTTTCTGAAAAATCTGAAAATGCCTTAAACTGCAGTATTTCTATTAAATTTTTTAAACAAATTGAAATAACAGATTAAAATATTGTATTTAGAATTATAAACGATCTGCAGTTTTTATTATTATTTTTTTCAATTTTAGCGGTTTTAACATCATCAACAACCACTTTTCAAAATGTTAAAATAAGTCATTATATCGAGAACATTTTTCGGAATGCGTAATTTAATTTGTAATTAAAAATTAAAGATTAAATTGCGACCTTCAAAGCATTATCTTTGACTAACTTCGACAATTTAAAACATTTTTGGAAGATACGCACTAATTATTGGCAGGGAACTTATATTTGTTAAATTATAGATTGAAAGTGTCTATTAGCGACCATAACTACTTATCTCGTAATCGTTGTGCGGGAGGTTTTTAGACAGTAATTTACACGATATTTTTGTTAAATTCTGAACAAAATCTCTGTAAGGTAAGTGTATGTAAGTTGTTTTACTTTTGCTTTTCTATTTCAATGATTAAATACAGAATATCTTAATTGCATGTATTTTAAACCATTCTCCACTATTTTTGGTGTTTTTTACACGTTTTGGAAACCATTTAGCAGAATATTAAATTTTTTTTTATTCTACACATTGTTTGTTCTAAGTAAATCTGAGTATGCCAGTAAGTAACCCTAAGTTAAGAATTAACCCTAAATTTACCTTTAAATAAAGGGTTTCCCATGACATCTGTTATCTAAACTGAAAAATAATACACCACGTTTCCTTAAGATATCCATTATAAGTTGTCAAATTTATAATATATAGCTGTCAAAACTAAAACTAAAATAGAATTAAAAACTAAAAATATTTAGACAACAATTCAATTGATTATAACACAGTGCCATAAAACAAGTGAACATAATGTGGGGTAACAATAATATGATAATTAACGAAAACAAAAACAACATTTTTAAGCTGTACACCTATAAATTAAAATGGTAATAATAATTAATATTAACAAAACGTACTTAAATATCATACATTTTATGTTTCATAAAAAGGAAAAACACAAGAAACAACACAATTATATGAAGTTATATATATATATATATATATATATATATATATATATATATATATATATATATATATATATATATATACGGTTTTTTAGGCGTTACGCCCGTCTGGTAGGGATCTATGGAGGAGTATCACTGAGCCGCAAAACCGCAAGCCCTTATCTCTTGCCGTACTGCTCCACCAAAGGCCGATCAGATCCCAGCATATTCTAGTCTAAGCCGCAGATTCATCTAGAATTTTAAACTGCTGAGTTAGAATTTTTGTTTTCTGTTGAAGAATTATAGCGAACACTAAATAAAAGTATAGTCAAAACCATGTTAGATGACTGGTTTGAGATTAAATCATGATCAGTGGATCTCAAACACTTATTGCTCTAAAATTTAATTCAGCGCCACTTAAAATATTTAAAATACTTTAAAATGTATTACATAAGTATTGTTATACCGACCTATACGACAAAAGCAATCTAGACATTTATTACGATAAACTTGTGAATTCTGGGATTTAAAAAAATGTTTTATGTTGATTTGAAGTTAATTAGATATTCCAAAGATTCTTTTACATACACAATGCCTTTATTATATTAATATGGTGACTACAAGTGAACACCAAAACAAAAAACATAATTACATAAGTTTTAATCAAAATAAGATATCATCTATTTGACAATATTCACTACTATTTTTCGAGTTTAGTACGATCATAAATATTTATCTTAACCTCGTGGCACCCACGGAACTAGAAGCATGGTAATTAAATACAAAATTTGATAAAAAAGACTTAAAATTTTATCGACACCTTCCTACAAAACACTCAAAAATGATAATTTGGTCATAAACCTAAATTATTTCCGAAATATAAAACACGTGTCACTTGTGAACATTACAAAAAAATTATCCTTGTTATATAATTTCAATCGGAAACATGTTAGGTGCGTATTTATTTCCAAAAATTTGGCAGTCGTACACATTAAATTCCTGTAAAGCAGGAACTACTTTAAATATAATTTAAATCATTACGTTTAGGAAAATATAAAAACTAAATTTTGATAAAAATATTTCTTTGAAGCAATCTGCGAAAATGCATCATTGGTGAAGAAAAATGAAGAAAAATATGATTTCATATTCAGACTAATTACTATTTAACTGGGAATAAGCCACAATTAAAGATAAAAATACGTTTATTGACGTTTTAATTTCCATAAATAAATAAACATATAAAATTAGAATTTTGGTGTTTATTGAAAGTAAATTGCCGGGATAGTATTATGAGGTTTTTTTCCTGTTTTTTTCCCTCGTAATTTACTATGGAATCACTAATAGGAGAATTTTACTGTCATCATGTCATGTGTTTGTCTTATTAAAGACGAATTACCTGCTATGATTTTTTTCTGACAAATATTCTCAAGTTAAAGTTGATTTCATGTAATCGAATGAACTATCTTATAAGTAAAGTCGTCCCAGGAGCGCAACTCAAGAATATTGGCAATATCATTTTAAAGTCGTCTACTTTAAAATGCATAATGTATGTCTGAATTGTCAATATAAATGAGTCAAATAAAATTAAATTATTAGAAGAATTTTTCATTATGTAACAAAAAACAAAATTTGTTTAATTTACTGTTTGTATTTTGAGAACGATTTCCGAAGTGGAAATTGAAACGTCAATAAACGTATTTTTATCTTTACTTGTGGCTTATTCCCAGTTAAATAGTAATTAATTTAAAATGCCACAAGAAAATAGCTTCAGAACAATATTCATATTCAGATATCGTAGATATCATATTATGAGGTTTTTTTCCTGGTTTTTCCCTTATAATTTACTATGGAATCACTAACAGGAGAATTTTACTGTCATCATGGCATGTGTTTGTCTTTTTAAAGACGAATTACATGCTATGATTTTTTAACGGATATTCTCAAATTAAAGTTGATTTCATGTATTCGAATTAACTATCTTATCGTACTTGATCATTGATCACTAAGGTAAGATTGCAAGAACAATAACTATTTATTAATATTAGTGTCTGATTCAACTTACTACCCACATTTTACTCATTATCATTGTAATCTGTTTTTGTTAAATTACGAAGAAATCACTGTTAAGAATTTAAAACGGCACTGGTTCTGATTACTTAACTTTTTCATTTTATTTTTTTTTATGTTGGTAGGAAATTATGGGCAAAAATCAGATTTTTAGTCAGGAATCATACTGCTTGACCAGACCGACCGTCCACGATCGACCAAAATTACAAGTCTATGAAAATGTATGCGTTGACTCAGACTGGCGGACCGTCCATCACTTACAGCGACCGACCGCGATCGTCCAGTTTTGAAATTCGGACTTGTTGGAATTTTTGGTCGTTTGGTCGATGAATATGGAACATTTCGCATTCATTTGTGCTGTTTTGAGCTAAGACATTGACCATTGACATTTAAAAATTTGTAATTAACCTATAAAATTGGATTTGTTTTTGTTTCTTTGGATTATGTAGTTTGTATATCCAATACAAAAATTAAGGTTCTATTAATTTTTTGGAAATGCTAAGGAATACTCTGGAATACTAAGTTTTTGGAAACAGGACTTGTTCATGCGATAATAATTTTGAAATTTTATAAAATCATTTAATAGAATGGGGTATAACACAAATAATTCTCCTTGTTGGTGTCTTTTTAAAAAATGTCTTAAAAAAACAAACTGTCCTACGCCTATAAAGATATCAAATAAGTGATAAATAATTTATCAGTAGAATTATTGCTGCTAATTCTATCCATAATTCAATTTTTTACAAAGAACAAAATAAAATGAAATAACAAAAATGTGGTTATGTTGCTACACACTCCTGACGTCTTGATGGTCGGTCGATCGATCGTGGACGAGTAATGTGAGTTTAAAAATAAAAATACAAAAGTTGGTTGTTCGCCGTCGGACGGTCGGTCGTGGTCGATCGAGCAATCTGATTCCTGCCTTATGGAATATTGTCAGTAAATATTATGGACATTGACCAGCATAGATGACTTATGACACATTTGTTACGTTCGATCGATATAAATATATAGATTTTTATATATAGAAAAAAACCTTCGTAGTCTAGTTCTTCAAAATGATTTGTTCTGTGCCTAATGATTCTTGGTCTTCCTCATCACTGATAAACGCATATACATCATATAAATCCATATCTGATTAATTAATAATTTACGTGTCTATCTAAACTCTGTCAGTGTCAAAAAAACGAAATTCGAAATTAGGTTAGGATATCCTGGTCATGCTCTAAATTACCGCTTTTACTTTGGTTTAAAAATTTTGTCGGATAACCACAACCCGAGCTATTGACCTTATATTGTGAAACCTATATTTCAGGGTAACCGCGGTTATCTCTTAACCGCAAGGTAACTTTACTTTGTGAAACCGGCCGTAAGGATATATATGTATAATATCAAATTTATTGATATACCATTTTTCAGTAAAATAAAAGTTAAAGTAAAAACGTTGCACATCACAATTTGTATAAAGTGACGTCACTTCTATTTAAAATTTCGAGAATATCAACCTTAAAATTAAAATTTTCCTAATACAGCTAATAATACGAAACCCATGCGAAACTGCTCGATCTTTCATAGGCGTCAACATTATATAATATTCAGAATTTTAGAATTATATTATTAAATAACTAAAAACATTTGTTATTATTAATAAAATAAATTTCATAAAATAACTCTTTAAATCTAATATCGTGCGAAACTGATACGAAAAGACTTTAAATTTTAATGACAGTTCAGCGTGTGGCAAAATTGTTTAAACTGTTGCAGCTTTTTTAGAGTAAGAATATTGTTTATGTTTTGATTTCTTACGCAATTTGATTTATATACAATACATTAATAAATTGTATTTATAAATAGATATTAAATTTAGATTCATAGCTTTAAAAACTAATGATTGTTGTGTATTGTGATTGTGCTATGCCAAAACAACTAAATAGTCTGTAGAAAGCTGATAAGCTTTCATATAAGATAAATTATTTTGAACAAGAAATAATGGCAGGACGTTTTTACTATTAATGCTCTAAAAGAGGTAAGTTTAAAATTTAGAATATATAATTTTGTTTTAAAATGTTTCCTATGTATTTTAGTGTGTTGCAGTAGTCTTTAAACTAAGTGTATTTACTGTTAATATAACAGTTTAACAAATAGTTGACATTTTACAAATTCCTCACTTACTAACTATTCTGATGTTTGGCAACGCTGTGGGGTTCTGATATCGTAAATCTTGAATGACGTGAAAACATTTTATATAAAAAATTCTATAGATAATTAAATAACACAATAAGGATTATTTCTGGTACTATCGAGTCGACACCTTCAGGCTGGCTACCGTTTCTACGTAATATACTACCCACTGATCCCTTTAG